AGAAAGAAGATTAGCATGGCCCCTGCTCAAGGATGACAGGAATAAATCGAGAAATGGTCCAAAAAAAAAAAAAAAAAAAAAAAAAAAAAAAAAAAAAAAAAAAAAAAAAAAAACCCTTGCCCCTCGACAGCCTGTGTGGCTAAGGGGGCGTAAACTGTAGACCGCTGACTTTAGAATTTTTTTCTGACAGCTGTAGAAACTCGAAGAGTTTAGACAGCCGTCCACAAAAGAATTCTGATAATCAGTTATCATTTATTTGGTGGATTTTTTCAACAACAACAATAACAAAAAAAAAAAAAAAGAATTCTGATAGCTTAGTTGAACTCTTTGAGTTTCTACAGCTGTCAGAAAAAATTCTAAAGTCAGCGGTGTATCTTCGTATGAGAGGTGAATACCCAGAATCTGATATAGGAGATTTTTGTTCTGTACCACGTCGATGTAGTTCGGGTAATTGCGGACACGTTTTCCTCTCACAACTCTCTCTTTAGTTTCATTTATTTCATTAAATTTAGTGTTTTTGAAAAGAGTGGTCACCTACCTCGCTTTCTACTTCTTGCTCTTGTGTCAGGGGGATACTCAAACTACCACTACCTCAAATGTACCTGACCGGCCGGACTTGTATGCATCTGGCCGCAATTCCGCCCAGAAACAAGTAAAAAAAGTGCTAATGTGAGTATGCCCTGAGTCTACATAGTTGGGAAGGGGGTAACTTGTTCCATCCTTTTTCACGTGCGGTTGTAGGCGCTGTTGAGGATACAGATAGATAGTGCTGGAGGTCCTTTTTCTTCTTTTTTTTTTATAACTGCTGGAGGTCTTTTTTTTTTTTAAATGAACAACATTTATAAGAGCTGGGAACTGGGCCCTGCGTCCGTCACAAAATTAGGTGGGGCCCTCCGCGGGCAAAGCATCACCGGCCAAGCACATCGAGGGTACCACTACAATCTTCCCCCGAATACAACGTACGGTCATTATAGCTGAATTTGGACTGAAAGATCCACCAAATTCAGCTATAATGACCGTACGTTGTATTCGGGGGAAGACTGTAGGTTTGTTGTTCTTCTTCTTTGTTTCTGCTAGGGGTAGTTTGTCGAGTCTTGTGTGAGGCGGATGTGGACGGTTCTCCTCCTTGGTGTTGGTGGGGTTTGACTATGGGTTGTGGAGAATGAGGACATCGCCACACCACTCTCGAAATGTGCAAAATGAGAATGAACTTCCCGCTAGAACACGGCCAGATGCACCCGCCACACTAAGGGGTGGACCCCACAGGCTTGCGGAAAGGCAGACAATCTGTCCGCGCAGGACGGGGTTCGTCCACCGCGCACGGAGGTTTCCAGGAACACGGGACCCCACCGCACCACGGGATTTTCGTGTCCGCAGACGATCTGCTTGCCCAAACAGGAAAACGCATTCGGCCTTTCCCGCATTGGGAAGTTTACGGTGGCTGCCGTCATTGAACGGGTTTGGTTTTTGGTCCACCAGATGTCCATGTGCGGGACAAGCGCGGCATGGTGCGACGGGAATATGAGGTGCGGGCGACAAACCAACGGGTCCCAGCAACAGGACCTGGCTCCCACGGAACCTCACGGCCGCTGGAGTGTGTCGTCGACCGTTTGGGTTCGGCTCGGGGACCACTGACCGTTGGCGCTCCCTCCGCCATTGCAACGCCATCGCCAGTCACGTCGTGGGACGCGTCGTCGCCATTTACGTTCAGCGCTTGAAAGTGCTTGATCGTGTGGCCATGGAAGCGGGTTTCGGCGATGGAGATGGGGACATGCCCGACACGTACGCGGCAATGGAACTCGACAGCGGGCCTGGCAGCGGTGCTGCCGGCGCATGCTCGGATGCGAGTGTGGAGTGGGACGACATGCTGTTCATGTTGGTTTTCGTCATCATCTAGTGGATGAAACAAAGAAACGAGGCAGCTATGACCGTTATCGAGGCAGCAGCATCATTGCCTCTGTGGGATCCTGGAATGCCTGTCGTTTTGGCACTGTTGACGTATGGTGTTGGTCACAATCTTCATCTCCTCCATGCGGCCTTGAGTGCCATTCACGAGAGAGGCGAGAGTAGTGGTAGGATTTGGGTACCTGATCGCAGCGGTGGTGTGTGGAAGGATCTCCAACGTGTGGGTAGGAGACACGGCAAGATCTTCAAAAGGTTTTGTAGGCTCCCTCGTCCAGTGTTTGAGGACGTCTTGCGCCGAATAGCACCTCATATTCAGCGGGCAACAACGAATTGGAGGCAGCCACTGCCTGCGGAACAGAAATTTGCATGCGCGCTGATCAGATGGGCCACTGGCGGTTTCTACAGACAGTCTGCTCATGGGTTGGGCATGGGACTGGCCAGTGCACTGCGGAGCAACGAAGACGTGGCCGACGCAATCATCAGGGAATACGGTCATGTCATCTCCTTCCCGCGGGGTC